ATTTTAAAAAAAATTTGTTTTTTTATACGCTAGAACCAAGTTTTCTATTAAAATTTATCAATCATAAAATTGAACAAAATGGAAACAACAACAACAACAACAACAACAACAATTATAATAATAAGGATGACGGTGGTGTGAATAGAAATAGCGCACATAATAATAATGATAATAATGATAATAGCAAAAATTTGATTTTGACTCGTCTGATTAAAAATGAACGGATCACAGCCAATGACCATTTTCAAGATGTTCGTCATATTGAATTAGAAGTTAATGATTCGGAATTAAAGTGGGCTTATATATATATATATATGTATATTAAACAATGATTAGAATGGTCATTAAAAGTTTTATTTATCTGTTATATTATATATATATTAATTCAAGGTATCAACCAGGTGATGTTGTAATTATTCATCCAAAGAATTCGGTTAAAGAAGTGGATGAATTCATTAAAATGATGGATTGGTCTGATATTGCAGATGATCCTTTTATTCTGATTCCTAATGATGAAGGTGAATTTTTTTTTTTTTTATGAAGATTGCAAGGAGAAAAAAAGAATCGAATAATTGATAATTTATTTTATTTCATTTTATAATTTTTTTAAAAAATTCAGATAAAATAATACCTTCACATTGGGGCACATCTCTGACATTAAGAAAAATGTTTGAGGAATATTTAGACATATTTAGTACACCGCGTAGATCATTCTTTGATTTCCTATCATTTTTTACTACAGATGCGGATCACACTGAAAAATTAAAAGAGTTTTGTAGTGCTGAAGGACAGGTAATGATGTCTCATTTAACATATATATCATTATTAATGGTTTTATTTATTAATTACTTTTTTGGGGATAAAGGATGATTTGTATGCATATAGTCAACGTGTTCGCAGGACAATAGTAGAAGTGCTTTATGATTTTTCATCAGCAAAAATACCAATTGATTATATACCTGATATATTTCCAGAATTACTACCTAGACAATTTTCCATCTCATCATCATTAAAATTTCACCCAAAGAAAATTCATTTAACAGTTGCCATTGTCAATTATAAAACTAGATTGCAGAAACCACGTCAAGGTGTCTGTACTAAATGGCTATCCACTTTGGAATTGGGTATTAATATTATTGTAAATAATAAATTTTTTTTTGGAATTTGTATTTAATTTGTTTTTCAATAAAAAAAGAAACGCTGATTCCAATTAGAATTACACGTGGTACCATGCGGTTGCCTACTTCGATATCAACACCAATAATCTTGATAGGACCAGGTGAATATTAATGATATTATTATTTTTTAAAAAAAATTTTTTAAATAGTAATAATATTATCATCATTGTTTAATTAATTAGGTACTGGAATAGCAGTCATGCGAACATTTTTGCAAGAACGAATATCCGAAGGAGCAACAGGTAAGAAAATAATAATAATATTGAAAAGAAAACAGTTAAAAATTTTGATGTAAACTTGAGGTTGATTGGCTAATGTTTATTTATTTATTATATTTATATGTATGCGCGTAAAATGAATTAGAGAATTATTTAATTTTTGGTTGTAGAAATCGCGAAAAAGATTATTATTATAAAGAGGAATGGAAACAATATGTTGATAATAATCAATTGAAAAAAATATTTGTAGCATTCTCTAGAGATCAGGTAATCATTCACTTATTTACTCAATCAATTATTCATAATTCAAATTCAAATATGTTTACCACCACACTTACAAACCAACTAATTTTTTTAAAAAACAATTTTTATAAGGATAAAAAAGTATATGTCCAAGATATTATCAGAGAGAATTCCCAATTATTTTGGGAGATTGTGTATGAACGTGAAGGATATATTTATCTGTCCGGGTAAGTAAATATATAAAATAAAAAATTTATTATTTTGGGGTTAACTAACTAACTAATTAATTAAATAGACGATCTGAAAAAATGCCAAATGATGTGATGAATGCATTCAAATATGTATTCATGACCGAAGGCGGGATGACAGACGATCAAGCTACAAAATATATTGCTTTACTTGAAAAAAATCGTAGATATCAACAAGAAGTTTGGTAATGCAATATTAATAGAGTAGTAGTGATATTTGATGGTAATATTGATAGTAATATGATAATAATAATTAACATAAGAAAGAAATTGTTATAAGCAATGTTTTGAATGATTATCATTTGAATAATTTTTTGCTGGTTTTGTAAAACGATTACATTCTATGCTATTCCTATTCATGAGCTTCTCAAAAAATTTCATTTTGAATTTTTATTATTAACTAGTATGCGAAGCTTGGTTTTAAATATGATACCAATTGTTTTGCATGTGTATGGAGCATACTGCAACAAAGCGAACATTCGCATTACCGGATAATCGGTCATTCATCGAATATCTGCCGAATGTCCACTGAATATCCGTTGAATACTCTTTGATTTAAATTTATTTAAAATATAACGATAAATAAATTTAATAGAATCCTTTCAAATAACGATGGATTCAATTTTGTTCGTTTGGCTGCCATTGTATTTCCAGCTTCATTAAATAGACGTTCATTTGGAGTAGAAGTTGCTGCGATGCATAAATATTTTTAGCTAACGATGACACAGTTGGGTATTTATATTACTTGATATATTATATTGTTATAATAGAAGGAGTGTTGATAATAGTGTAATAGTGGATAAAATAGTATTACATGTATTAAAAAAATTACATTCAATTGCGCGAGTATTCACTAATTATCCAGTGAAAATTTTTCGGTGAATAATAATAATAATCGCTAAATATTGTTGATAAAAATAAAATAGATAAACAGAAAAAAAGATCCAATGAATTGTTAGATATTGATTACTCAAGAAATCTTCGAGAGAAACTTCATCAATTGCTTGATGAAACTGGTGAATCTACCCCAGTTAGTTGATAGAGCTGATATTAGTGCTACCAAAGAGAATATCATCATCATCATAATGAATTGAAATAATTCTACCTTTGCATCAAAGATCAAGTTATGGTAGGGTTTCTGTACAAATAAGAATTATTTGTTTTATTCATTATGAAGCTGAGTATTCAAATTACATTGAATATTGTGAGTGTGCAATCTGAGTTGCTTACTAAATTTTGCACACAGCCTAGATCATGGCCAAAAGGGGTCTTTTGCATCTGACACAATCCAAATAGTCAAACTAACCCATAAATAACTATGCTATTTGAGGTGTCCTTACAAGCGATACAGAACACAGTACAATCAAAAGGGTTCCTAACTAATAATTAAAGGTTAGCCAAACCATTAGTCATTAGAAAGGATTAAGGATCAAATCACACTGTCTTTATTAATTAATTACAAAGATTATTTTATGTAAAAGTGTTAAAGGTGAACTAGTTAATTAACTAGTTATTAATGATGATTAATTATTCTTAAGCAATTTCTAATTGTTTAAACATTGCATATAACATGACTTTTTACATGATTACGTCTGGATATAAAAGGAAATGGCTGACAATAATCAGGGCCCCAGGTCAGTTCCAATTTACTATCTCAGTATTTATTCAAGTAAAATGGATAAAACAAATTGAACATTTGTAATTTAACATCTCTTGAAAATAGACAATTCCTTCTAAAAGATTAATTTTTTCAACTTAACATCAACATGCCATGTTGACTTCTCTCTTCCTTGTCAGCATATATGACACAATAATATTTTTGTAATATAAATAAATATTTTTGTCTCATGATTATTTTATCTTTTAAATATATAATAGCCCAAATATCATACAACAACAAAATTATTGAATGTGCATATTTGACATCCAAATTTCAAATGGAAAAAATATCAATTGTGGGAGGTTATTACCTTTATATATAATATCACTATTAAATATAACTAATTAATTATCTATAATTTCATTTCTCAAGATATTTAATATCACAGCTACAGTAGCTGAATAAATAAAATAAATAATAAATAATTTAAATACATAATAAAATGATAAAATTTAACTTATTCAAGTAATCCATCTGGTATAGTTAATTCAATTTGCATAGAATCTACAAATATTTATCAAGAGATATTAATAAATTATAATTTTAAAAATCAATAAAAAATGAAAATAATCAATGAATAATTACCATTATTATTACCAATAATTGTCACTTTATTGGAATTCACAGGCTGGGGAAGGCTTGTAAATTTTAATAATCTGCTAGTGTAAACAGCATTTGGATGAATTGTTGCAGTAATTGTTGAAGGATCAAATTTTATTTCATCCATTTTATCAAATTCTTTTCTTAAATTATCAAAATCATAATTCCACTTTTGAATAATGCTAAAGACTTCTTCAACAGTTGGACGTTTATCTGGATTAGCATCCATGCACCTGTAAGCTAATTCAATATAGAATTTTGGTGTGTTGTTTGAAAATTCTGGTCTTACACCTTCACATATTCTCATTGCAAGATCTAGACCATGTGCCAAATTATTAAAAGGTTGTTGGCCAGTTGATACTACAGACATCAAAACTCCAAAACTGTATATGTCTGATGCTGGTGTATATGGTTTCTCTCTTAAAACTTCCGGTGCAACATATGGTAGTACTCCAAATATATCATTTTTATTTGACGATGCTTGATCTGTTGAAATTGATAATCCTAAATCTGCAATATATGAAGAGTTTGAATTTTGAAGAATATTACCACTATGAAAGTCATGGTGAACAATATTTTGTTTGTGAATATCTCTTAAACCATAAACTATATTTAATAGAATTTCAGTTTTCCGTTGCCATTTTAAATGTTTAAAATTTTTTGTTAAATAATTTTGAAGACTTCCATCACTTTTATAATCCATTACAAATATATACTCTTTTGTAGTTGGATCTTGTGATAGCCCATAAATACGAATTATATAATTTTTACCTTGAAACTTTTCATAATTTCTCAACTAAAGTAAAATGATTATTTAATAATAATATTTAAAAAAATCCAAAACTAATATTAACAAAATAATCTACCTCACTAAGAAATTCATCAGAAACATTCTGTGAATTATGTAATTTTTTTATTGCCACATGCATATCTTCATTAGCTCTTCCACCATTATCAGTTGTAACTTTGTTACCATTTAACCAAGTGGCTCTGTATATAGTTGCAAAACCACCTTCACCTATCTTTTCAATATTTGTTAAATTATTATAAGGAATCCATTGAAGATAGTAACAATAAGTGGTATCATAGATAGTTGCTTTAAGTTGTGTACTTTTAATCAACTCATCTATCATTTTATTACCACTGGTCCATCCTTCAGTTAATAGCTTTGGATCACATGATTGACACCATGAATGATTAGTATTATATCTATTGCAAGTTGGACATTTACCAAAATGTTCCTTTCTTTCCATTGAATATTTATCATCCGTAGAAGTAAAATGATGTTTATTTTCGTTTAAAGTGTTTTCCATTTTTAAAAGTTTTATTGATTTTTCCTTGATAATATTTTGGATTAGAAAAAATCTTTTTAACGTATGAAAACAACAGGATTAATTGGATTTTTTTTAAAAATGATTGGTAATTTTATCTATAAAAAGGATTTGCAGTCGTGATAAATACTCTCTATTGATCATGCATGATGTGATCTGAAAATCAACTTTTATTAAACTTGATTTTGGGAAGAGAATTTTCGAGAGATGTTAAATTGCAAATGTTCATTTTTTTTGTAAAATTGATTTGCATATCAATGAATGTATTTATTTTCTTCCCAAGGTCGTAAAACCTTTCTACTTTCAATGACACTTGATTGCCTTCCGTTTTTCTCTTGCCAGCCTTTTAACTTTTGCATGATTTTCTCTGCTATCTTTTTCCATGTTGTAACCAACACGAATAATAATTATTTACAAGAATCAATAAATATATTTTTTTGTCATGAAGATCCAAAAAACTACCTTGCAATATCATTATTTAACAAGAATAGAAAACTGTAAAAGTTTATTATAATATAATTTAGAAATAAAAAGATAAATAATTATAACAAATAAATTTATAGTGTAATGTATACTTTCTTTATTTTAATCAATCAAATTGCTAGTAATAATTAATGGATAGTAATTTCCAATTAATTGATAATGAAATTTTTATTCATGAAAGCTAAAATCAAAATTATTTAATGAACTGTCATTAATTGTATAACTTTTAAATCTTTTTGATCTAGCAATCTCTTCATTCAATATTCTACTTGTATGGTATGCATCTGGATGTGATTTGTGTACTTGTTGCAAATCACTAACACCAAAACCAAAACCAAAACCAACACTGCTGCTGCTGTTACAATCACTACCACGAATTTCCATATGTTTATTATAAGCAAAGTTACTCAGCTCTCTACTAGTTGGTCTTTTTGATGGGTCCACATCCCAACACCTCTTCATCATTTGTACATAATCATCAGGCATTCCTGGCAATATTGGTGGTCGTAAACCTTCTTCACATATATCAAAAATTAAACAATGATTGTGAGCTCTATCATCAAATGGTGGATGACCTGCAAATATTTCCCACATTAACATACCAACACTATAGATATCAGATTCTTTTGTATTCTTTCTGCCCCTAAGTAGCTCAGGTGCAACATATGATACAATTCCATAGATTTTATCTGATGATTTTTCATCAACTGGTCCACACAATCCTAAATCTGTAATATAACAATTACCTCCTTCCAGAAGTATATTACCACTATGTAAATCACAATGGACTAAATCTTTTTCATGTATATCATCCAATGAAAAACATAAATAATCAATGATTGTAATTCTATCTTTTAATGTTAAATTTAAATGATTTTTTTCCAAATAATTCCTTAAATTTCCCTCTGGAACATAATCTAGAACAATTACATAATTTCCATTATCTGGGAATTTAGTTATACCATAACAAGGATTAATTCCTACTGATTTAATTTTACAATAATTCATTGCCTGAAATTGAATATAAATTTCAATTAATATTATTATATAATACAGTATTGTTTATTTTGTTTTGAATGATAATTACCAACCTCATCAAAAAAACCTTTTCCTGGATTACTTGAATCATTTAAACTTTTTAATACTACATCTCTCTCTCCGTGATAACTAAATTCCTTTTTATTTTCATCATAATCAATTATACACCCCCTTTTCCATGTAGCAGTATAAATTGAACTAAATCCACCCTCTGTTAACTTTGTTACTTTTTCAAATTGCTCAAAAGGTATCCATTCTATGATTCCAGTTGGCAGAGATGATTTCATTTGACATTGTTGAATAAAATCATCAATTATGTTATTTCCAGATGACCAAGTAGTGAAAAGGGTCTGTAGTTGTAAAGTAATACATCCTTCACAGATTCTATCAGAGTATCTTGTTGATTTACATTTGTTACATTCTTTTGGTTTACCCGATTTATATGTTACATTATTTAATTCAGAAGCATAAAGAAACCATTCTTTACAATATTCTTTTTCATTCTCAGAAAGCTCCTTGTTTTTTTTGATTAATGAAAAATAATAATCTTTTACACTTTCTATATCAGGACTCATTAGAACATTATTTGATATTTCATTACGAATTTTAATTACAAATCCCCTTTTTTCTGGTGGTATTAATGATAATAATTTACCGTGAGACATCATATAAAAATAAATATATTTATAAAATTTAAAATTTGACTTGACTCAATCTATTATTGTGTTTTATTGAATAGAGTGGAGAAAACAATTTTTTTTTGTACTGAGAATTCTTTATTATTTCCTTTTGCAAAGAATTAATTTGAATGGCGTGTAACAAACAATTTTCACGTACTCTTTCTGGAGGACCCCACAAATTTCATTGGATAGGTTACTGCCGCAGCTGGGTCAAAATTCATATATAAACTAATTTTTTTGTCAGTGATTACAATAACATAAAAAGCAATTTAAGGGCCATTTACTTGAACTCAGCTCGAACTTGAAATTCAAGTTTAAATTGAGTCTGCCCAACTTAGAGAATAAAGCGAAGAAAAGAAATGATTCGAATGATTTTAATAAACGAATAAACGAATAAACGAATAAACGAATAAACGAATAAACGAATAAACGAATAAACGAATAAATGATTGATTCGAATGATTCGAATAAACAAATAAAATGAATGGTCCGGATGATTCGAATATTTAGAATAATTAGAATAAAAAATAAAAAAATAAAAAATAAAATGAATAAACAAAACGAACAAACGAACAATTCGGGATAATTCGAATTAACGAATAAAACTATTTCTGTATTTATACAGTCGTTTTGAAGATCCAAAAAACTACCTTGCAATATCATTATTTAACAAGAATAGAAAACTGTAAAAGTTTATTATAATATAATTTAGAAATAAAAAGATAAATAATTATAACAAATAAATTTATAGTGTAATGTATACTTTCTTTATTTTAATCAATCAAATTGCTAGTAATAATTAATGGATAGTAATTTCCAATTAATTGATAATGAAATTTTTATTCATGAAAGCTAAAATCAAAATTATTTAACGAACTGTCATTAATTGTATAACTTTTAAAGCTTTTTGATCTAGCAATCTCTTCATTCAATATTCTACTTGTATGGTATGCATCTGGATGTGATTTGTGTACTTGTTGGATATCACTAACACCAAAACCAAAACCAACACTGCTGCTGCTGTTACAATCATTATCACGAATTTCCATACGTTTATTATAAGCAAAATGAAGAAGCTCTTTACTAGTTGGTCTTTTTGATGAGTCCACATCCAAACACCTCTGTATCATTTTGTACATAATCATCAGGCATTCCTGGTAATATTGGTGGTTGTAAATCTTCTTCACATATATCAAAAATTAAACAATGATTTGAGCTCTATCATCAAATGGTGGATGACCTGCAAACTTTTTCCACATTAACATACCAACACTATAGATATCAGATTCTTTTGTGTTCTTTGCATTAATTTCGCCTCTAAGTAGCTCAGGTGCAACATATGATATAATTCCATAAATTTTATTATGGTTGGCTCGGTCTAAAGACCTCCTATTGCTGCGCCATACGGCCAAAATTTTCAAAAAATAAGACTTCACGTGAATTTAGTTTTTTTACTGCCAAATTTAGATACGATAGTCAATAGCTAGTCTAAATTTGGTATTAATTTCCTAAATTTAGAAATGATCATAGTGGACAAATTCCTCGCAAGCATATAGTTGGCTCGGTCTAAAGACCTCCTAAATTTTGAGCAAATTTTAAAAATATAGAAGTCACTTTCTGTCCTACCTTTTAAAAAAATAGCTCTATTAGTTGATAGAATATGACTTTATTTTTAGTATAATAGAGAGATTTTCTCAAAAAAATATTTGTTGTAGAGTTCTATTCTTTTTTAAAACATGTGCTTTACTATGCTCGCGAGGAATTTGTCCACTATTATCATTTCTAAATTTAGGAAAATTATTACTAAATTTAGACTAGATATTGACTATTGCATCTAAATTTGGCAGTAAGAAAACTAAAATTATGTGAAGTCCTATTTTTTGAAAAATTTTATTACATTTTTGAACGAATTACAAAATTGCTATTTTGAAATTTGGCTGTATGGCGCAGCCATGGGAGGTCTTTTAGACCGAGCCAATCATATAAAATTCCGTGTTGATCAAAAAAATTTTATTATATAGTATATATTAGTGAGGAACTTTCTAATAACAGTTAAAAGAAAAAGGTTAGCTTAAATATTGGTTATTCTACACTAGGTTAGAAGCGTTTCTTTTCTTCACATTTATTTTAAGATTTTCTTCCAACTAGTATACAGACTAAAACAAATTCAGCGGCAACAATTGAGCCAAAGTGTTCCCTACAAAGTCACTTATAACTACTTGAAAGGTT